TCACAAGGTTGCTGTAAACTTATCGACCGCCTTTTGAGCCTTATCCTGGTTGTTTTTTTTCCAGTAAGTTTATTTTCTTTGCGCAAAATTTTTCCGATGGTTACGGATGTTTTCTTTAGCCCTTGGAGAAGTGTATTGAAAACGCTTGAACTTTTTGGTGAACATACGCACAACTAGGGTAAGGAAGCTGATGTTTTGGAGAATGTCTGGATTGTAACACAAAACTCACTTGATGAGACACACTACTCATACGGTTGCTGAGAACTCATCAACGGCACTCAATTGGTTTTACCCTTCTTGGAGCTCACCAGGTAGGTATGGTCTCCGAGTTTCCGTCGCCTTTATGTTTTACTTGTACGCTTTTCGCGAGGTACGCTCATTTGCAAACCAATTCGGTGAAAACTAAATTTCGCGAATAAAATTAGCTTGTTTGCAAATACCAGATTTTTTTGCTTTGGAGTGCTCATAACTGACTTCTTCTCGCATTGGTGGTGCACTTTCTATGCAGTGATTGATCGATGTCGCTCTTTCCTCGGAAATTGTGGGAGCAGGAGATGAATTTCAGATAGTCGGATTAGTGCTGCAATGTAGCCCTGTAACGCTCGGATCCAAGGATGTGGCCCTTGTATTGAGTTTTTTTGAAATTGTAGGCCATTTTCCTCACCAGACACTTTAAAACGAAATCGAAAATTGAGTTGATCTGGAAGGTGGACTTATGTTCTCGCTTGTGACCTGTTGTATGCCAATATTTGAAGACCTCGTTACAGGACAATGCGAGCAGCTCTCTTCCTCTGTTATTTGTACTTCTTACGTCATCGGTATGCGAATACCCATGCACGTTGTGAAAATGTATGCGTGTATTATCACATGAACGCTGCTCAGTCCACATTTGCCGTGATCCTCACATGCATCCTTATTTGGGCTTTCTCTCCAACCGTGTTTCCATTTTTTTGTATCAGATAGCGATAAAATCTCCGTGGTGTTGGTAACTTTGTTCCACTCGACACATGACCGAAGCAATCTGACGAAAGTCCCCTAATTTAATTGGCCTCCGAAAACGCTCTTTCCGGTTATCTTTAGGATGAGTTCCGTTTTGTGCAACAAAGAGGCAGGTTGTGGTGACTTAGTGAACTGCTGACAAGTAGTTGGGCTTCCTGAATGAGTCGGCATATCTGTTCAGTGGGGAGATATTATTTCGAAAGCAAGCAGCTAGTGATTGTCTAACTGTTTTGCTGTACTCTTTTATACCTGTGGTAAAACTTGTCCAAACTTTCCGCATTCTCTGTGTGTTTCGCAGACGATTTTGTGAAAGAAAGATTATCTCATCATTCAGATTAGGCCCCGTCGTTTGGCGCAGTGTCACAAAATCGGTCACTAAACTAAACAAAATCGAATTCACTTTCATTATACCTGATGACATTTCTTGAGTGGCCCATTTTCTTCTCACTATTGTGACGGATGGACGTTTGCTAAACATGAGTTAAGGTGGATTTAGCTGGGACGATCATTTTTACGGAACGCCTCAATCATTCAATTTAAGGAGGGCAGTTTCCACTAGGCGGGTTCATCCTTACGCATATTTTTTTGACCTCGCATGAATGTTTTTGATGTGGCATATTGCATCGCTTGCTGTGTAATCAATGAATTTTAATCGCACAGTCAACAGGTGACCCGTATGTAACCTACGGAGTACTGGTGGATTTCTGTCATCAACAAACAAGCTAAGCAATCGGTCGTTGTCAAGCCGACTGCTCATTAACCTACGCAAATGCATACTCCTCTACATCAATTTCTATACTGCCATATGTTAGATTACGTCGTTCCACTTTTTTCAATTTGAATTTAAAAAACATTGCTTTGTTGTGGGTCAAAACAGCCATTTGGCGCTCCCTGAACCATAGAAAATAATGGCTTGTTTTGTGATATGCGTAGTTTCTGAGGAACCTGGGAAAGAAACACATTGAACTAGATGTAAAACCGTTTTAAACTTATTCATTTCAGTGACTTTCTGAATATGGCCATATTAATTCAACTACTCGATGATTACCTATTCAGCTGGCTTAACTGCTTCGGCGAAAGTCAGTCCTGTTTGAAACTACAGCATTTCATAAAGGAAACTACTCACAAGGTTGCTTAAGACTCTTCGACCTTGTGAGTAGTTTTCTTTATGAAAATATGCTGCGATATCTAGAATAGCGTACCAACTGAAACCTGAGGCGGTCTGTGTTGCAGCACATCAGTTGAAGAATATCATAAACCAGAGACTCAGTCGAGTCTTCCGTGAAAACCAAATTGATTCGCTAATGAATGTATTTGACAGTATTTAACATTTTCGTCTTGGTCATTTGAAGTAAGCCAAGATATCCTTCGGTTCTGCAAAACGGAATGGGTCAGTAGTGACCAAGCAACTATGGGTGGCTTGTGTCAGATGGTAAGCTGGTCCTGCAGAGCGTCTACGGGACTTTCGGTACGGGTACCATTTCGGGCATTACTTAGAGAGTTACGGGTACATATTTCTGGCCTTTACACACCCCATGAATCTCATAAGGCAACAGAGACCCACAGATGCGCTGTTTCTCATCGTCTGAAGGTTGGACTCAGATAGGGGACTGAGAACACCGAATTGATTATGACATACTTTACCGTAGACAGAACCACCTCAGATGACTATGTGGAAGTGCTGATTCGGAAGACAGTCAATGTAAAACACTTGGAGAAGGTGTTTTAACTACGGAAGCACCTTTTGGCAAAGTTCTGTCAACTCTGATTTTCCCTCGTCAGTATCATAGTAACAGGTCCGGCTCGGGTTTTGGTTGTTAGTTTTGTCGGCAGGTTAGGAGACCCTGACCTGGACCCTCGGGTTTTTCGAAAACAAATGGTGCCAGAATAACCTAACTAAACTGTTTTGGTGAAAATAATTTTCGGTTTCCCGCCTGTGATGAACTCATACTCCTGTTACATTTACATATAGGTCCTGCTGGATTCTTATGAGATGAATTGATTGAAAACTCAGTAAAACTAAATGAGTCAATAGCATCCAAAATCCAGCGTTGAACTCATTAGGTACATCCGCTTGGAATTAATGGAAACAGTTGGTTGACAAAGCAATAAAGTTATGGTCATGTGTATCAGCCATTTGTTTCCAGCGGAACCCAGAGCGCCATATCGGTGTCCAACCAGGCAGGGAATATTCCAGTAAGCCTTCTACATCAAGTTTCGCAGTTGTTTCAAGATCAACTGACAGATCTACCTATGCGGAAACCTGCAACAGAGTCAAGTTGATGTGAGGTACTTTTAGTCGTTGTGTGGGAGTTATCCGTCAGGAAATCGATCTCTGCGCAGTTTAGGGAATCGGTCGCTCAACTGAGTTCGGTAGAGCTCTACGCAAGTTTGTATCCTGATCACTTTTGATTGATCAGTTCTTCCAGTCCACACCAACGCGGGCAAGCACTTAGTCTATTGCGTCTCTGTTAGTGCTCGTGAGCGGTGCATGTCCTTGAACACTTTGAAATTCGACTACCGGACCTTTGACATGCCAGGTATCGCTACGTAGCAAACGCACGCTGGATGTATCTGGCTATCTAAGCAGACAAACATACTGACGCTTGAGTAATGTGTTGTGAGTCTAGACGCTCGAACGACTATCCAGCAACTGACTGGCGGTTGATTGGCTCTCTTACCAGGACTCCCTAGTCGAGGGGCGCCACGGAACTTCTGGAAAATTTCAGTTGCTCAGTTGGTTGATGAAATGAAGATTTACTATTCTCGATAAACGGTGATTTTGTCCGCACGCCGACCCAATCACTTGAACTCTACTCGTATAAACTCTGGTAGGTTGGCTCCCTTCAACTGTGCATCCCCGAGATGGGCGAGATGACTCAAGTGGTTGGAGCGCAAATTTACTCTCCGGAAGGTCCGTGGTTCGAACCCGACCTCTGCCTCTCGACTTCCCTCTCTAGGCTTGGGCAACCTGGCAGTATCCCAGCCCTCGTGCAACCTTCGGGTGGCATGGCAGTTGGGCACCGAAAGGGTGCTACAACTGAACGATCTTTTTATTTGTTTTACGCATCCCCGAGTCCTCGTGACCAACGGCCAGTAACAGTCACAGTTGTCATGATCCTGGACAGACTGCACCACTTCTCTGGGTCACAACACCTTCGGCTAACTAATCCTTGTCATGGTATAAATTCTGTATTTGCCCGTTCGTACTGTCGGTGTTCTCTAACCTATATAGTGCATGCCGGCATGTGGGCAATAACCCAATTATCTAGTGTCCTTTTGTACTGTAACTTCCGCGGTTCTTGGTCGGTAGATTGCTTCTCTGTTCTTGTACATTTCTTTCTCTTGTCTATTTCTGAGTACTTGGTAGAACAGTGGCAGTGGAATCTGTGTAGAACTCAGTCCGAAAGGTTTGCCAACACGACCTTAAGCGCAAGTTTTCTGCAGAAATGATCGTATTTCAGGCTAGTGATGGCGCTATGAGATGGCTTCCCTCTGAAAAGGGTCATTATGTTGAACATACTTGGGAGAAAGCGAACTTTCAAACGTGGGCTCTGCATAAAGCTAAGGTATACGTCGCCTTCCACGTGGATGCGAAAACAATTCCTAGTCGTACAGGTTCCGAAAAGTAACTGCTTTATTCCCTCAACTCTATTGTTGTTCTGTACAGCTGAAACTCGCCGTTCTAAGCCTTCTGGTAAGTCTTTCGGGTACCTTCTTGAAAGGTATGTCCATAGCTTATCCACTGTATCCCTTCTGCTTTCGTTTTTTTTACATTTCGTTATTGAAAAAATGAAGCAACAACGGGAAATCCGATCCACAAAATGCGTCTCATCTTGGAGTGAATAAATTCATCTGGATATGGTTGAATTGTGCAACGAATCGGAGTTTCATCCTCTTTGCTCATTCCTTTATTTCCTGCACTCAATACTGTTAGCTCTTATCCTAGTCGTACATTTCGAGGCCTGTTAACTTCAACTTTTTGCTATTCCACTGTTTTCAGCCGATAACGATTATGCTACAAGCTTCATCAATTGCTCGGTTTTACCCGGAGCTTCTACATTTTTAAACGCATTCGTTGGATTCGCTCTCCACCACCATGCTGGCGACTATTCACAAAGTCTTGCTCCGTAGCCATTTGGCGTGTGTCTTCCCTAGGCCTCATCCAACAATTGTACCAAAATACGGCATTTGGAATAGTCGAAACGTATCCCACTTAGTCCATCCTCTAACAGCCACGGAGCAAATTTCCCAAAATCAAGCGGGGGAGACTGCTACCACGACAAACATCAAAGTTGTTGGTTGGATTCGTTCGATACGGCGGCACAAAACGAGGATATTTTTCGATGTTTCCGATGGATCCACACCCATCAACCTACAGGTACAGTCACTTTTCAAACCAGTTTTCGGGTTTTTGACTGAATAGATTTTCTACTCTGGCTACACCTTTTGTTTCGGTTGAAGGACGATTCCGATGAATGATTTTGCTCACCGACTGACGGGGTGTGACCCGTAGACGAACAAATTGTTTTGCGCTCTACTTCTTCGCTACCTGTGACCTATTAGTAGCATCTATAAGTCATACCGTGTTCACAAAGGACCCGCATGTAGGCTCATGTGAACGACTGGTTACAGCTCAGGACTTTCAAAGAAATCAGCGACCAGTCATCGGGTATTGGTTGTTTAACTGCAATATGTGTCATGTCAGGTGTTACCCAAAAAAATGCAAAATATTTTCTAATAGCTTTCACTTCATCAAGCAAGACCTGTCTGTTGGCTCACAATGAGCCTCTATGTGTCCGCCGTACTATATTATTGTTCCGGATCTCGTGGATTACGCGGGAGTGTCATATTAACCTCACCTACTTATCACTGACAAACAAAGAATCCCTGTAAAGCATGCCCAACCGTGAAATGCAAAAAAGGAATAGTCATTCCCTCCCTGCATATGACAATCCCGGGGAACATGTAAGTTGATGGGAACCGATTTGCTTAAAAGTTAGGTATTTTGTGAGTTCTTACATCCGTGATTGGGCGCTAACTTATTTGATCACAACTAAATAATTAAGGCATCGTTTCTACATCCTCCTGACGTGCCTACATCTGTTCCCTCCAACGGGCGTACACAAGAATGTGAGATTAGTAGTGTTCTAACTGTCTTTCTTCAATCACTACTCACCAGCCTGTGCCTTTTTGGAACTATAGAAGAATTTTCTAATGTGGTAATCAACCAGTTCTCATTCTTGGTCTCTCTGCTCAAACCGATTTTTCAAGCAGATCTGATGGAGTCTTTTATCTGTTTAAGATGTGCATTCTCCAATCCACATCAAGTTGAATCATCCTAACCGATTCAACTTCTTTATTCACCTTGGCCTCATTCATTTTGTTTTCCAGTGAAATCAAAGTCTGGTTTTCATTTCAAGTTTTTGAGTAACTTCTCGCTTATAAGCTGCATGTGTAAAGTGATCCCACTGTCAAGCCGAAAGGAATCAGTCTTACGTCACCCAAGTGACGTTATTTGCAGTCATAAATTTAAGCTTCTGTCCATCCCTGAAGTCTTCTAATCCCTCTTATTTAAATGTCGTGCGAAGGCGAAGCAACTCGGCTTGTACACCACCACAGTCAATCTACCAAGTCTGGTTTCGTTTTAAAAGAAACCTAAATTTGGCACAAGCCATTTACGCGGGATCGCTACGTCATTCAGTCTGAATTACCAGGCTTTCCATTACAGTTTTAATTTGACTAATTCGACTTCCAATGTCTTATCCCCGTTTGCCATCGCAAGCTGAAACGTCTCCAGTCCATTTAATTGGCATCCTCAGTGGGTGCAATTACCATATCAACACCCGATCGCGCTCTACTACTACCACCACACACTGCTAAATATCTTGTTCCTCCAGCCTTGTTCAACCCGATCCGGTGTAGCTATGACTGTACGCGTGGAGCTCATGTCTCATCACCCTGACGCAACGTGTTTCATCAGCGACTAGGATGCGTGTGCATGAGAGCTGCCTCATTGTCATATAAGGTTTACACAAGGCCCATAGTGGACACTTCAACTCGAGAGTTCGGGTTTGACTTGGGCGAAAAATGTGATTGCGTATCCAGTTCTACTCTGTAAATGATGGAACTACCCATTGTCGGCAAAGCTTGACGATCCCAGCATCAACAAGATGAAGCTGAATTGGCAGCTGAAACAAGTTGGGAGGCCACCAAACCCGAAGTGGCTCAGGGGTTTAAACGTGAATTTACTGATTACAAGGTCTGTGGTTCCAACCTCTGCATGTCGACTGTTCCTGCCTAGGCCTGGGCAACCTGGCAATATCTCAGCCCTCGTGCTTTCTTCGGGTAGCATGGCAGCTAGGCACTGAGAGGTTGTTCCAGCTGAACGACTATTTTCTAAGCTTGCAGGCCATTATACGTTCGCAAGCAATGATTGCTGAAGTTTCTAGACTACCAGCTACACACTGCGACTCCTCACCACAACGACTATGAGGGTAAAGCTAGTCCACGGATCAGCCCTCGGCTTTCTTCGGGTAGCATGGCAGCTAGGCACTGAGAGGTTGTTCCAGCTGAACGACTATTTTCTAAGCTTGCAGGCCATTATACGTTCGCAAGCAATGATTGCTGAAGTTTCTAGACTACCAGCTACACACTGCGACTCCTCACCACAACGACTATGAGGGTAAAGCTAGTCCACGGATGGCAGTCACCTGGAAGTAGTGGCACCTTCGCGAAACAAAGTATCTCTGATATATTAGTCATTTTCATTGCTTTTACAAGAGAAACCCTGTAGCTCTGCTACCATGGAAGAGCGAATTCATTCCACAACGGTAAGTGGATGATACTAACAAAAAGTGTCCATTATAAAACAGTGATCTCTGAAACATGTTCTCAGGGATGGTTCCGCGAACATTCTCTGGCTAGGTCTCTGGTATACATCAGTCGGTAAAAAAATTGTGGAATACAGAACAGAAATCTTTTCCGAGCTGATTCACGCGTACTGAAGAACAGTGTGTTGCGAAATTCTTACAATTAGCGGCTGGTAAATGATATTTCAATGCTCTGAACGATGGCCTCTGTATCTGTTGACAAAATATTGCGACATTCCAAATGGAAGTCTATTCTATCTGGACCAAATCTCCTGATTACTGCACCAGTCGTCACATCCCAAGACCACTTTTGAACATGTTTCTACACTCACTGTCCTAGAGCGATATCGTAAACTTCATTGGCTTGTTTTTTGGTCAATTAGAACGGTGCCACAAGCATACGCCTCCGTTGTAGCTGTCGTAAGCCTGCATTTAATTTTTATGTCTGTGACCGTGCTGTTCAAAAATAAAAGATAATAATAGTAGTAAGTCAGTCGTAAGCCTGATTTAATTTTTATGTCTGTGACCGTGCTGTTCAAAAATAAAAGATAATAATAGTAGTAAGTCAGTTCAATGTGAGCTAAAAACATCAATAATATGTTATTTTCAGGTTGTGTCCTCGCCTGATCTGATAACTGACCGTGTACGGGTTGGTTGTGCGGTATCCATCGAAGGACAGTTAGTCGAAGGTCGAAGTCCACCGTCGAATTCGGACCACATAATCGATCTGAAATCACATCAAGAATTGCATGCCCACACAATTCAGGTCCTGGACCCCGAACCTGTCGAGTCACGTGTTCCACCGAAGGTGATTGAGGGGACACTGGGTGTTCAGACACCACGTCCCGATCTAGGGCTCCTCCGATCCGAAACTGGGCTTGCTTGGCGTCATCGACTTCCAGAGTTTGCCGCTATGTTGAGGTTACGTGCTCAGGTCAAATCCTTGGTTCATGATGTCATGCGACAATTAGGATACCTTGAGGTAAGTTGGAACACAATGTGCTTTTTGACAGCCATCCATTAGTCCTCTGTCCAATAAAAACCAATTTACGACAGCCTCCCTTCTCAGCCACAACTTAGGATGTGAGCTATTGAAGCAAGTCCCTTTGGGAGCGATCAAATATTTCCCTCTATAGTGGTCTTTGTTAGTCGTTCTTTACCATTCAATCTGGCTTGAAATGTCACTTTTTCAGTGATTAGAGCTCTACGAGTCTACAATCTTGGGGTTCCACGCCGATTACTCTCTTCCCCGGAAGACAGACATTGTAAGTTTTCAGAACGATCCCCGGGTGGACCGCATGTGGCTGTCTACCGTACCGTTTGACGGAGCTATCGCCATAGCGTGGGTGGCACTATTGTTGACACCCTGAGCAAGTCTGACTCCTACGGTTTTTCTGTTGACACACTACAGGCCTGTCAGCGACAACGATTACAGCAACCAACCGTTGTTTATCCAGCTTCTCCAACATCATGAACAAATTCGAAGGTACAATTTTCCTCACGCCCTTCTTTTTACCGAATGGCGAACAAAAATTCGACCAAGTTCTGGACACCGCTTGCAATTACGGAAAAAATGCAACCAATAAAACTGGAAATAGTTTGGCTGGCACAGACACCACACAGTGCCGATAACAAATGACGAACTTCACACCTCTCCCGCTGTTAGCAATGCAGTTTCGACAGGACCACTCACATGTTAGAACTGGAAATGCCAACAAGATCGATGAACCCTTCATACAGCAGTGAAGTATCAGTGTCAACACTGATGTTGCTGTCTCTGATGATGATGATGACCCTTCATAACATTGATGATTTAAAGCCTAACTGACTGTCATATTGATAGACAGGTTTACAATATCCACTACATTCCAACGCATGGCCAACACATTTTTATAGGCAGCTCTAATTCGCAGGGATTCACAATGAATTTACATCTGGCCTGCTTTTGTAAGAGTGATTGTTTCACTAATTGGGTCCTCCCTCAGAACCAAAATTACACCGAAATACCAATGTCGTTTTTCTTATGCCACAACATCGTGGTCAAAGAATTGCGAGGGACTGTGTGTTTGTGTGTGTGGTAGTTGGGATTAGTTTCGAGGCGAATATTAGTCTCAACTTTACCAACTCTTCATCATTACGTGTGATAAATTGGGATACTGCTATTCCCAGGAAAAAGGGTGAGAATTTGATTAGGTATCTCTTCTGGCTGGCTGACTTAAAATAAACCGCTCGGTATTTCAGTCGGACTTTATCTGTCTGCTCTATTCTGTACCTGCCCGTAACTCTACTTTGATTAGGTCGTTTGTAATCTGTTTGTTTCAGCTGGTGATGGTCAGATTGAACGTGCCGGCTTTCAGAAACCAAATTTGTACACTCCCAGAAGTACACTGTTAGCAACTTTTCAGCACCGAATTCAAAAGGATGTCATCTGGGTTGAGAATCTGTCTTATTCGCTAACTACACTACCATCTGTCTAACATCGCTCAGGGATGGGGACTCTGAACAATCAACCCCTTGTGATAATTAGTAGTATTTATATGTGTGATATCATGAGATGATAATATATGGATAACTGGTCGAAACGGTGCTGCCTTTCGCGCTGAGATGAAATCTCTGCCACTGTGCCATCTGACTACTCTGCTATGGACGTTTTCAGCAAATGCATTATCTTTCACTTCCAAACCTGATTAGTGGTTTGCTGTTGATGCTTCTCTTCATACTGTGGAATGGTTGATTCAGCTTTCGGAAATAACAGCTCAGTCGATGGGGGATTTCGACCAACCTTACCATGCTGCCGGAAACCAGTGTTCACAGCGAAATCTCAAGAGCTTCAGTTCGCATGCCCCTCGTCCCGCCCGTAAATCATCGTTATGAGCATGTCGGAAAGTTTTGTAGAACGAACAGTGGTTTGTCTTCGGAGGCCTTCGTAATCGTTGACTGCTAGGTCGGTTACAAGCATTGGGACTCCTGTCTTTTAGTTAGAATTTTCCTGTACTGTTGCGTAGCACTATTTCGATAAACCTCTCATTCACACAAAACTTAACTTATAAGTCCTCCATACGGTAAAAAAAAACCTTTGCCCTATCTTCGCTATTTTGACGTTCATGGCACAAGGCACAGTTAAACATCCACAAATGTTTGCCTTTTAAGAGGAATTTTGTTTATTTTTTGTTTGTTTTTTACACACTAAGATAACTGTTCTCCATAATGATCAGAATTTCGGAAGTGTACAACAGCAGTGACATGCACCTTTGCTTTATCTGACCAACGCGTGTCCTACACGGCCCACGCCGTATGTCTGTGGCCTTAATTAGAGAGAAATCAGGCGAGAACTGTGGTAGATGTGTTCGGTCGCTGATTAGATACGCGCATTTTTTGCGAACTGAGACATCATATAATCCTCTTTCGTGTCGAACAACAATACCGTTTCTGTACACAGTAGTAGTCCTTCTGCAGTTTATACCAAGATATCGATTCTAAACGGGAAACGCGTCGACTTCTGGGTTCTTGAATTCTCCCTGTTTTTTGGAAACCTTAATTCTTCGCTTGTGAGTACGATCTCTCCAATTCGGTTGGTTACACCCATTCGATATCATATTTACAGGTAACTGACTTCGTGTTTGACCATATTCATAGGGTGAACAGTCATCCCTCCTGTTAGGGTATACTCGTGATGGGTTTTTTGCTGGCTCATACTTTTTTGTGCACATGGATCCACAAGTAAGATCGAGTGAATTCCCGTGGATTGTACTTCAATTAAAGTTGCACGTGTTTACATTTCACGCTTCATCCAGATAGTCTCTCTGTTCATGACCAAGGTAGCTTTCCCGCTTTGCACATCTGTTAGTAAGGTATTTTCTCGTTCCCTTAATACTGGCGCTGTGCCACTTTCGAAGCTTGTAGTACTTTTTTCACTTCCGGAAGAAACGGATCCAAGCTTGTGGATACGACTGATTTTTCCCACTATCTTTGTCATTCGTCTTTCGTCATAATTCATAGCTCTTAAACCTTTCAGTCATCCAGAGTGTAAAAGCTTGATTCCCTATTTCGTATGCTTCATCACTCATCGATTTCTCCGGAATAGCATAATCGATACGACTAGTGATTTACGATGTAGAAGTTTTGCCGCTATCGAATTATGTTGGCGGTTAAAAAACGCGGCAATTCGCCTTGCTGTTGATGACTTACCCGAATAGTATTTTGAACAGAGATTGTTAGTTATTTTGTAGAGGACCTTTTGTAACGTGTATTTTAATTTTTCGATGGTCTGATGTGAACATTCTGGGAGACATTCCGGAAGGAGCATACACCACTGGACGGAGCCTTTCTCGTTACCTCACGCCGATTGTTAACGCCCGATTGTTTTACAACTTCCTTTTTCACTGTCAGACTGTTGGATTTTGGTCAGGCAGTTGTAGTCTTTTGCATTTCGTCACTACGTCGCTGCCAAACGGGAAGTAGTTGGCAGCATGCCAGATGTTTTGCCACTCCTCCCTTGTTTTTGGGGACGCAGTTGTCCTGCAACAGGACCTTAATAGTTACGTTATATAGGATATATCGTCATTAGACAGCAATTGTCTTTTCGTCGGTGCCTGAAAAACAAAGAAGGACTCAGTACGCTTGACAGTAGACTTACTTCCACTGCGAACTTGTCTGCCACTTTGACATACATTCCAGAATTCTGCCTTACTGGCATTACAGCCACACTAGCTGCGTAACCTTGGAAATACGTATGTTTTTTTCAGTCGCCTTCGTCAACTTCAGAGCGAATCAAAAATGATGAAGCTATGTGACGACAAAGCACAGGACAGCTTATTCTATCTTCGCCGTAGCCTGATACCCTCGTTACAATCAGGAAGACATAGTTTATTTCCCAAATCGCTGCATTCCGAACGACCGGTTCCTAACTTAGTGACCTATTGCTGAATCCTTACGGCTTTTTCCTCATTCAGGACTTCTTGCACTCAGGTTTTGCATCAGTCATATGGCGACGGACCCCAATGCTGATGAAAGTGTCTGTAAGATTGCAGAAGATGTCGGAGTGAAGCGGCTGGCTTTTTCTCAATTAACACACCTGGAAAACCATCTTCCAAAAAATGTTCACGAGATTGAACGAAACTCAACTGCCGAATGGGCACCCATTTTGTTCCAGTGTTCAGACATAAGCGATGACGTTTGTGCATGTGCACTTTTCTGCTCATCGTGTAAACTGGATAGCCCACCGCCATCAGATTCACCTTTATGCTACCGACACACTTTCACACCACCAATCACATAGGCATATCGGCTTTTTCACCCGGCTTAACTAGACAACGCAATTTTTTGTGAATCCGTCGGCGTCCTTCGTTTAGCTGTGTTTTACCCAGTTCACTGTATTTGGCCGAGTCTTGAGCTTAGCTTCTAATGCGTTGTTTTCTTGGTTCAATAGCGTGCACTCCATCACCACCAGCCATGTGTTTGAGATTGCGTCCTGATTTCAATTCTAGGGTCTTTTGTTGGATGTATCCAAAGACAATTTCCGGCAGAAGTTCGTTTCACTTGTCTATGCATAACAATGTGTTCTTCAACAGTTTGCTCAAATTATATTATCATTTATTTTATTTTTGAAGAGCAGTTCTTCAACGCTCAAATTATATTATCATTTATTTTATTTTTGAAGAGCATGGTCACAAACATAAAAAGTGAGTGCAAGGGATGAATGCGATGCGATAACAGGAGAATATGGGAGAAAAGAGAGAAACGTCTCATTCGAGATCGTGCCAAGGGCAGTGCCAGTCTGATAAGGTGAATCCCAAAGTATGTAAAGATTTTGGTATGGGAACACGCGTCTAAGGACCAACAACCAAAGAAAGGACAAACAATGGTGAATGCTCTTCAAGGCGCAGTGTGCGCTAGCACAGTCAAGACTCGCACATCAGGCACAAAGTGACCGTCATACTGGGTCTGGTGTGAGATTAAATGGCAAAAATGTACCTTCAACGC